ATGAGTAGATTCACACTTGTGTGCATACTATCCTTCTCTTCAGCTAGATCCAGAATTCTCAAGCGGAGACCCACCTCCCCCAAAATGGTGAGAAGCATTTGTTCACTCACTCTTCCTGAGAGATCTCCTAAATCCAATGCCAACTATACAATGACCAAATCTATAAGCAGCCTCAACCACTCCCTGGTCCAGACACTCATCAGACATATCCACCTAAATATCTGACAGACATATCCAACTTAGAATCAGAATCATACTTTTCCATTTTCCTTGCCCAAATCTGCTCTTGGGTCTTCTTTTACCCAAGTTAAACATACCAATCGTTCCCCAAGCTACAGAACTTCTGAATCATACTCAGCTCCTTCCTATTTTTACAGCCTGTTGCTTGTCTGTCCCTAACTCTGGAATCTTTCATATTTCTCCTATGCTGATGACCTTCACCTCTCACACAAGGACTCAAGTGAACTCTGACCTGTTTCTTGACCCCTTTGTGTCTCCTAAAAAAAGTATGCCACACACACAATTTCCCCATGCCGAACCACCTAAAGTTTCAAAGGATCCCCATTATATACAGATGGAAGTCCCGGCACTCTAAAAAAAAGTGTAAGACTATTCACAAACTGTTTCTGGCCACCCCGTCCCTCACATCCTTGCATCCTATGTTTCATACCCCAAGTTGTATGTAACATGACTTTGCACATGCTGTTCCTTCTCCTCGAAACCCTTCAAAACCCAGCTCAAGGACCTCTGAGATGGCTCCCTCAAGCTTCTCAGGCAGAAGTTAGCTGCCCTTTCCTCAGCATGCCTCAAATGCTCTGTATATCCCTCATCAGTACAGAACCTGATGAGGGCTTTACTGGTTCATTGGCGTCTCTCTCTACACCACTCTAAACCTACCTGAGACAAAGACCACGAGCCCTGTAAGGACAGCAAATCTATACATGGTGCCTGACACATGGATGTGCAAGGCTTTTCGGAACTCAGTTTTATAGCATCAAATTTCAAAATGCTGTATTCAAGTATAAAATCAGGTCAGCTTTATCAATTGTGCTGAAAATGTGGATCTGTTTTGATGTGATTGATAAATTAGGGAATTTGAGCATAACTCAAAATTCCCAATTGCTTATGTGTAATTATCTATGGAAAACACTGGATGAAGGTAAAACACTGAATGTACTCCAATGAACTGAGCTGTGTGGAAATAGACAACACACACACCCACACCTCAAACACCTACCAGCTTCATCAGTTCTGTGTTATGAGGATACTCACCCAGATCTGGCGTTATAACATTCCCTCTGGGTTCAGGTAACCTTCTATCATTTCACAGTAACTCACAAGCAGCAACTCTTCTTACGCCCATTTCCACAAGCAAACAAAGTCTTTTTCACGGAAAAGCATCACATTTATGGTAGTATTTATATATTGCTTAACCATTTAACATGAAAAACTGTGCTACTATTTTTATCAGGTTCCTTTTTCACAAATAAGTCATTGACAGAGTTTTTAAGTGTTGAGCCCCAATCCCATTTCCCTTAATGCCTGTAGATGATTTTTAGGAACCCACATGCTGCCTTACAGCAGAACTGACTACAGAGTTCTTAGTTAGGCTTTAAGAAAATTTCAGTATTCTAATTCCAATAATTTACTGGAGAGAAAACTGCCTTCCCCCCAAAGCTCACAAAATATTTATACCCCATATCTCAACAGACCATCAGGGTCGTCATAACCTTTCAGCTTGGTGGCTCTCGCTTCTGGTGAGCAGGTGGTTGATTTTTCCACCATAAGCTCCAGTCTGCCAAAGCCTAATTCAGAAGAAACTTTCACGTGTACCATTTTATGGGTTTCATTGTTTTGACTGCTTTTAAATTCTTCCGGAACATCTTGACACTTTTATTTTAAATTACCCTGTATTACAGAGCAATTGGGCAGAACCCTCAAGCCCACTATATAAAGGACCAGACACAAGACACTATATTCAAATTAAAAATAGATTCAAAGCCACTAACTCCACACTATCTTAACTGTGACTGTTATACGTAGGGCCTCCACTCAATCCTCCACACTGATGCCAAAGTGATCTTTAAATCACCTTACACCCCTACTAAAAATATTTTGGCTCCCTCCTTTGCTATAGGATAAAGATATGAACCTCACTTTTAGCTTAGCAAGCATGATCTTTCAAAATCTAGGCCAGACATACCTTTCTTTGCAGGTTCATCTCTAGTCACTCTCCCTATTCCAGTAACATCTCACCAGTGGCCTCATCCCAACATTTGGCACCTCAGCACTCCCACCATTCCTTCTGTTTGAAATGACCACCTCTCCCCAGTTTGACAAATACCTTTTCTGGGTTATTTTCTGTAAATTGCTTCCATACCGTCCACAAATTCAATCATTTTCTATTCTCCCACAGAACTTCGTACACCTACTCAGCCTACAAACTACACTACGGCAGAAACTTGAGTATTATTCATTTTTTAATTCTCAGGATCCAACACCGTGTCCAGCATAACTATTCCTCGATATGTAACTTAAGTATTGAAGAAAATATAAAGAAATGAGGGAGCAGGGTTAAAGCAGCCTAAATGAGTCCCCATCTTAGATGCAAACAACCTTCTCCTCTTTAATTACTAGTTCAAATACCAAAATATAGTGCATTCCATTGTACACAGGCTATGCATACAGTAAGTTTTAGTTTAATTTATTCAGCATTTCTTAATTTCACATAGTGTTTTATTAATCACACTGTCATAAAATGGCTACCTTCCTAAAATGAGTAGCAGTTAAGGTGAAAGAAAAAGGTACACTGGTAAAAATATTTTGTGGAAGCTAAAGGATTTGAAAATTAAAATTGGAACTTTTCCAAAATAATAACATTAAGCTCCAACCACAACAAAAGGGTAAATAATAGCATTACAAACCCACAAATCCAAGTCTTTCTTCTCTCCATTAGAATGTTCTTAGCTGAGCCTATTTGGACTTTTCCAAAGCAATAAACACTTTAAAAGCAAAGCTTCCCCCAGTGTGCCTTGCAAATGGGAAAGGCAGAAGTGTGCTGAAGATGTCAGGTGCCCTCACCCTCAGCTGGGAGCAGCCCTTGGGCCTTTATTCCAGTTTGCCGCACATGTATTAACTCTTTCTGTTGCACTATATGAAAGAGGTTTATGCTTTAAAGGATATAGGAAGGCTAATAATAGGTATAGCAGGATGCCTAAGCATTAACCACAGTGCATATTTATAAACTACAGATAGAGGAGGCAGATTCCTACGACACCTTTATTTGTTGTCAGGATTGAGTTCTTTAACCACCCTCATGTCTGTTCAGAAAACAGTCTGAAATTTCCCAATAACAGTAGTGCCTCCAAGATTTATGAAACCTGAAAATACTTACAAAATCGAACAGGCATTTAAAAGAGCTTTTTCCTTTACATTACCATTGATCAAGACACTTTTGAAACTGAAGGACCCACTTTCAGAGCAAATCTTCTGAGATTCACAAGACAATTTGTCTTTTGTCACATCCTCGTTTTTTTACCATTTCGTTGTCTTGTTCACCTGAGAAGTGACTAGACTCAACTACCTCATATATCATATAACTTCAACCCATTAAAACACCCTCTGCCCTCCCCAAAAAACTATAATCTCCAGCAATTACATCACACTCTCATTTGCTCTCACATTCATACACAACCTGGTACCTCTTAACTGTAGTATGTTTGGACAAGTCACTTTAACCTTCTAGGTCTTCCTCATCAGCAGCTATTCAAAGATTTTGTTTAAAGCAAGTCGACTGGACTAGATCACTGGTCTAAAAATATTAAGCAATTTTTATTCTAACAGTGATGACATTCTAAAGACAGTGACAACTGCTGACAGCAATTACCAAAAAAAATAAATAAAGTCTTTAAAACCTTGACAAAGGCTCCTACAGCCTACAAAAACTGTTTTGGAATGGTAAATCCCAGTCAGTGTATTGTGAAAACCAAAAAGTGTTATTACATGCCATTTTATTTTTCACTTGTTCACTTTTGTTCTCTTCCTATCCAAAATTAAATTCCCAGATACTACAAGGAAGCAAGAAGATTCCACACTAGCACTAATGGGACAATCCACCTGGAAAACAGGTAACTATGGGAATTCAAATTTAAGCAGATTATTGAAACAATGTCAGCTTAACACAATAACAAATCCAGGAAGGTCAAGCAAGATGACCGACCATTCACAATGTTGTCAATTGCAGTAACATAAATAAAAGGTTACCGGCGTTAGTTAGCAGGCTTTTGGGGAAGGTGAAGGGAAAGTCAAAAGACAAATTTTCAGAGAAAACAAACCACTGGTGGTGTGTGCGTGTGGAGAGAGAGGGAGGGAGAGAAAGAGAGAGAGAGAGAGAAAGAGAGGGAGGGAGGGAGAGAGAGAGAAAGAAAGGGACTCAGGTTACTGGAGAAAACTGCTTCAAGTCATTAGGACTACCTCCGAATCCTTACCTTAGCAATACCATAAATCTATTCATTCGGTGCTATGTGCTTCTTTAACCATGTCACTCCCACCCACTTCCCCAAAATCTGCGATATACTGAATTGTAAACACTTTTGGAGGACGAGGTAAACAGTTGGTTTCCCGCTTTGCGAGGTTCCACACTGCGCGGCGCTCAATCCTACAGCCACTCCTCTGAAGTTACCACCCATCCCGGCCGCGAGTCTTGGACACCAACTCGTCTCCTCCTGGGGACCCGAGCCGGGGTCCGAGGCCAGCGCGCCCCCGCTCCGCTGCGCCCGCCGTCAATCAACGCCCCCCACCCCCGGCCTGAGCGCGGGGGAGCGACTCCCGGCGCTGTATGACCGCAGCGTATCTGGGGCCTCAACAGCAGCCAGCTCGGCCCAGCTGCGGGCCCGCCGCTCGACAAACTCAAGTTGCGCGCGCCCCGTGGGCACGACCGACCGGGACCCGTGAGCAACCAGTGCGGGAGCTGCCCGGCGGGCTCGGGCCGTCTCGCTCACCTCTCGGGGTGCACCGACCTCCGCCGCCGCTGCCGCCTCCTCCCTGTGAGTGCAGCGGGGTCTGACCTGTGGAACCACCATACCAGTCCCGCCCGCTGCCGCAGCGCCGCCGCCGCCTCGGCCGCCGCTCTTTGTTCCCCCTCCGAGCGCCACCGCCTCAGCCGCCCGTCTCAGCTGCCCCGATCGGCCGCCACTACGCCCTCCTGCCCTCTTGGGCCCCGGCCTCGCCCTCCTCGCTGTGCCCGCCGCCGCCTTCGCCTCCGCGCCGCCGACGCCGCCGCCACCGACGCCGCCGCCTCCTTCTCCGCGCCCCCCTCGCTTTCATTGAAAGCAAACAAGCATCATGGCGGCGGCCACCGTCCCCCAGCCAGCGAGCGCCCCGACCGCCACCGCCGCTCCAACATCCCGGCTACCCATTGGCCGCCGCCGCCGGGCGCAACCATTTGGCGCCGGGGGCTGGTCTCTCCCCGCATGCCGCTGCCACAGGCCCCGCCCCCTCACCCCCGCCCTAGGGGACGGTGGTCCGGCCCGGCGCGCTCCCGGCCCTCCCTCCCGCTCCTCTTCCCGCTCTCCTTGTTCCAGTCCTGCCGGTCACTTCTCTTTTCTCCTCTTTTAAACAGCTGCTCTGTTTTTCATCCAGCTCTCTTTTATTTGTCTCGGGCTGTTCTCTTTTGTCTCCTCTCTTCCCTCTTTTCCCTTGACCTTCCTCCCCTTCGTTTTGCCTGTCAGCCACATGGAAACAGGACAAGCTCTCAGACTTTTGACCTTAGCCAGTATCTTGATTTGCCTAAAGATGAGACATTCAATCGTGAACAGTCGCATGTGTTTTCCTCCCTCAAATATGCAAAAAAAATTACTTAATGGCCCGTTTCGCTCCATGAATGGTCATTCAGTCCAGTGAATTGGGGGACAATTCGTGTGGTGGGATTCTAGCTGGAGTAATGGTCAGCATCTGCGTTCAAACATGAAGGTGTTCTATTCAGGTGGTGACTGAAAGCGAGCAAAGGAGAGACGGGGCTGGTTGATGATGGGTGGGTACCTTAGTTGACAAGGTCAGGCCTTGTGCTGGGGCCAGGGCAAAGAGATGAATCAGGCCCCACCCTGCCCTGAGCAAGCTCACAGTCTGGAGGCAAGAGAAACACCCGACAGACTTAAAATCCAGTAGAGAGGCACGCAGACCGTCATGGCTTGAGGGGAAAGCAGCAGCCGTCCACTCACCTACTTGGCAAACTAGGATGGGCTGCTCCCTGAGCTACCAGCCCTGAAGAAATGAGAGTGAAATGAGTTCTGGTAAGTAGCAATAGTGGTAAAGTAAGACACTTCCTCACCAAAGGCTGTCGTGAGCTAGAGCGTATGGAAATGGGTGGCAGCTGCTGGGCTAAGGAGAGCTGGAAGAGCAAGGAAAAGATTGAGGGACAAAAGCTGCTGGGGTTCTGTGCTTGTCTGTCCTTGTGCTAGCATGGCCTTGGAATGGTCACTGCCTGCCATTTGCCAAGAAATCAACATGACAGCCGAGTCGTCTAGTGCCACAGGACCCTGGACAAGGAGAGGGATAAGGGGTTGAAAAGAGCAAGTGCAGACTGACTGGCTGCCTGTGGGCATCCCTCCACATCCTCTAAACCCATGCCCCTGAGTCCTGGGGTTGTGCATCCCCGTGCTGTACTTCCATGTGAGTGCTGTGCCCTGGCAACCTGTGCTCCAGCCTGGACAGAGGGGTGCCTTTTTTATAATTCATCTGCCCAGAGGGAGCTACTTTTTGTGATTGGCACAATATGTATGGAGGAGGGGAAGTCCAGCTGCATAACAAAAAACTTCGTGGCATAAAACAAGTTCATTATAGCTCATGATTCTTGTGCCCAGCTAGACAATATGCTGGTCTCACTTGGGGTCTCTCATGTCTCTAGTGATATGGTGGCTGGGAGTTGGATGTCTGGCGCCTTGGTGCCCCCAGTGAGATCTTTTTCTGCGTCATGTCTCATCCTCAGCTTTTCTTTGTGGCTTCTCTCTCCAGCAGGTGATCCTGGATGTTTTGAATGGCAAGCCAGGGTTCCATGAAGTAGCAGGTGGAAGCTGCCAGCCCTTCTGAAGAATGTCACTTCAGGAGTCTTATCAGTCATAGCATCAAAGCCCAGTCCAGATTCAAGAGGATAGGACATAAGCAACACAGGAGCTGCATGTACGTACAAGGAGGGACAGAGTATTTGGGGGCCATCTGGTAGATTAGGGGTGCCCACAGGGAGGGTACCAGTGGTGGTCCTGCCTGTGCATGTCCTGTTCTTTCTGAATATCTGAAGAAAACCCTAGCAGATGCCTCTCACCTTTGCAGATCCATGCAAATGAATGTGTCTCTTGTATTAGACAAGACTTCCCACTGCATGTTATAAAACCCCAACCCAAGTAGACTTTTTGCAGAAAGAGGTCATTTATATATTCAGGCGTTGCATAACTGAAAAGTTCAGGCATAATAAGATGCCATCCAGAACAATCTCACCTCCCCTCCTTTCACTCTGCTGTCCTCCCCACTGGCTTCTTCACACAGGTTGTGTGTCCAGGCAGAAGAGATGGCCACGACGACAGGCAGGCTTAGATTCTACCAGCTTCTCCACTTGAGTAGAGAAAATTTCTTTCCTCGTTGTTCTAGCAAGAACCCAGGGCAGCTCTCAGTGGCCTGACCAGAGCCCTGTCCTTAACCCCCTGCAGCGAGGCGTGAGGTCAGCCCTACATGGAGCAGATGTATTGAGAGCAGGGAAGGACCATCCCTCAGGGAATTGGGGGTGGACAGAAGGAGGGGAGCAGATTCTACCTCAGCCCCTTTGGGAAGGCTTCCCGGCAGGGTTGGTCACTGTCTCCTCAGGCTCCCAGCTCCTTTTCTGCTATCAGGGCACATGGCAAAGACGTCAGTTACCATCTCCCTGCCAGGCTGTGGGCTGCTAGAATCTGAATTGTGTTGCCTCCGTGCCGCCAACTAGGGCTGCTTTTGAGTCTTTTCCACTCGCAGGCTTTCCCAGCTCCTTCCTCTGTTCTGAGCACCTTGACCGTCAGGCCCAGGGTGGGTATGTGACCAACTTGGGATTTGCTATGTGGATGCAGGAAGAGTTCTGGCACCATTGGGGTTCTAAATTGGGGTCCTAAATTGGGTGGCAGCTAGTGCATCTTCCCCACCGCATGGAGAGATGAGAGAGTGATGAAAAGAGACCATCTTGGTGACAAAGCCTTGGTGCCAGTTGCCAAAATCCTGGTTTTGATAGTTTCCCCTTTTATCCAGTGATCTAGTCCAAGTACATGAGCCAATAAGTTCATTTTTTGCTTAAGCTAGAGTTGGGCTTCTGTCACTTGCAATCAAAATACTTCTCATTTGGTGGTCAGTAAATGCATTAGCTAGTAGACAGGTAGATAAATAACGAAGATGGGTGACCGAGAGGTGGCCATCCCTGTTGATGTGGCTGTGGTGTCTATTTTGCAGGCGTGTTTGGAGCACTGGAATTCAAACTTAGGGTCAATGTAGAATGTGGACCATAACTTTGTGGGCCCAGCAACTGGACTTGCCAAGGTCCCTGGAGATAGGTAGGGTTGCTCAGAATGGCTGCAATAACTAAAATGCACAGGAGACTGCTGATTGAAACAGGTTCCAAGGTTAATTTGCAAGACAGACCCAACCACTGTGTGACCAGAATGCTTGCAGTGGAAGATCCACGTCTCCCAGTAGGGAAGCATGTGGCAAATGAGGTCATGCCAGAGGTTGCTTGGTGAGCCCGAACTGTGGACCCTGCAGAGCCACTCAGCTCTGATAGGCTGATGCCTCCTTTCAGGGTGGAGACTGAGAGGAGGCCAGAACTAGTGACCAAGACCCCTCCCTCCTACCCAGTACCAGGGACATGGGCACACCCTAGCCATCTGTTTTCCCTTCTCTGCGCTCAAGGCATCCAGTTTTCTTCAGAGAGGACCCAGTCCAACAGATGAAGTTGCAGGTCCCAGTCAGATCTCCCCAGAGTGTCCTTTGTCTCTGGCTCCACTATATTAGCCTGCAGTTGATTGAAAACCCATATCAAACAGCTTTAAGAAAAGAAAGGAATTAATTGGTTCAAATCACTGTAAAAGGCCAGAGTCTATCAGCTTCAGGTGTGGCTTGATCTAGGGGCTAATGCACTCTGCTCCCCTCTATGTTGACTTTATCATCAGGGGCAGTATAGAAGCAGAATGGATGCCAGCTCCTACAAGATTCAAGCCCAGAGGGAAAGAGAGAGCTTCCCCCAGCAGCTGCGCAAATGTCCCAGGACTGACTCATTTCCATCCCTGAACTAAATACCATGTTTAGGGCCAGGAAGAAGTCATGTGCCCTCTCCTGGAGCTGGATCATCTTAACCTCACTCAATTCACATATGGAAAGACCTGGGGGTGCGGGGGATTGTCCAGAGAAAAACGGAGGATGTCATTGCTGGAAGAAAGAAAAATAGACGCAGAGAAAAGCAAAGGTCCAAGGTCCACTCTCTATTCCGCTTCCACTGCACACACACAGAGCCCCTGCCAGCTGCTTCTCCAGGCACCTGTCTGATCATGGCTTCACTGCCAAAGTGTGCTGTCAGGAGAAGGTGCCTTGATGCCTCAGCACACGGGAGACAGAAGAGGCACACCCATTTCAGAGCTCAGAGTCTCCCCGAAGACACCTTAGAGAAGTAACGGGAATGGGGAAAGGCAACAAATCCATTTCTGTTTTTATGTATATGTCATTTTTCTCTCTTAAGATTAAACCCTTTTTTTCATTGTTAAAAAAGTAATTTGAGTGAAATTGGCGACTGGACTTGGATCTGAGCTTGCGCCCTCCACAACTAAGACTGAAGGACAACAACTTGACTTGGAGCTGATGGGTCCTGGAAAAACACAATGTTCCCCTTCCCCAATTCCCCAACACTGTTCCCTTCCCCAATAAACAATCTTAAAAAAAAGTAATTTGTGGTCATGATTTAAAAACAAATTAAAGGGCCGGCCGAGTGGCTCAGTTGGTTAAGAGCTCACTCAAGAGTTTGAGCTCTGAGCAACAGCGGTTCAAGTCCAGCCCGAGCTGAGCAGCCGCTGAGCTGCCAACAGGTAGCAGGATGGCTCAGCTAAAAAAAAAAACCAACAAAACAAAACGTGTAGCAGATAAGGGTACTTATGACCGTGGTGACTGAAAGTCCAAATGTAGGGCAGCCATTGGGGTGTTTGATTTAAGCCCTACAGGCAGATTAATCACTGCCACTACCCTGGGTGAAAACATTTTATTACCTTGCTAACTTTTAATGGGATATGGGGTGTTGGAATGATGGAAGGAGGCTGAACTAGGAGAGAAGTCTGAAAGATGTTTCAGACTTTAAGGAGATTGGCCTAAAAAAAGTTTAGGGAAAGTTGACTCTTGTTTGACGCAGGTAACATGAGGCCTGTACAGTTTCCAAAAATGGACATTTGTCTGTAGGCCTTCCAGGACCCTGGGAAACCAGACAGCATGCTGAGGAATGGCATTCATTGCCAGGACACCCAAGTGGGCACTGCCCCTGGACATATGGCCCCCTGGGCAACTCCTCTGCCTCCTTGGGCATTTTCATCAGCCTAAAAGAAAATGTTGAGGATATCTTGAAATATCATGTTCACTCATTTACTACTTTGAAAGCATGGTAGATGTTAGACCCACCAGTAGATCTTGTTATTTGATATGCTATTTAAGTGTATGAATACTGTTTTATTTTAACCCTTAAAATATTTGGGTAACTGGTGGGGGGTGGTAGATAAGAGTAAAGGGGATCAAATATATGGTGATGGAAAGAGAATGGACTGGGTGGTGAACACACAATGTGATATATATTGGGTTGTTGGAAAAGTCATGACACATTTTTGCAACAAAAAATAGAAAAAATACATCATGACTTTTCCGACAACCCAATAGATGACGCATTACAGAATTTTAGACCTGAAATCTATGTAAATTTTTTAATAATTGTCACCCCAATAAACTTTAAAAAAATTTTTTTAATAAAAAAAAATATTTGGGTAACTAGATTTCAGTTTGGCTAGTTTCCTTTGTAATCCTATATATTTTTATGTTATGCTTTTAAACAACATTATTCTGAGCAGGGCTCTATAAGCTTTACCAGACCTGCCAAGAGGGCTCGTGGCATACAAAGTGTCAAGAACCCCTGTGCTAGGCCTTGGAGCCCTCTGTACCCACTGGTAAAGAGGGTGGAGATGGAGAGAAAGCACAAGTGCTTCTTAACCGGCTCAGCCTGAAGTCACCCTTATCACTTCTCACCTTCCACTGGCAAGAACTATTGTAGTCATCTATCCCTTCTAATTGCAAAGAAGGCTTGGGAAAGAGTTCCACAGGATTGGAAGTAACTTCCTCAATTCTGTCTGAGCAGCTGCTTTTCAACACCAAATCTATACAATGGAAGGGACAGCAGGAATTTTGTTGAACAGATAACCATCTCTGCCACAGTCCACCCCCTCAACTACCCAATATTCCCATGGACTCTTCTTCCAATAAGTGGCACCTGCTCTGCCTGTCTCCACCCTTCTCCGCCTCTTTTTCCTGGCCCTTCCTCTAAACGTGCTGCCATTTTGGACCATGAGAATGAGGCCCATGATATCAGAATAAGAAAGGGCGCTGGATGAGGCCTGGTTTCTGAGCAATTCATGGAGCAGAGGCATACCTCCAGAATCCAGGTATGTATTTGGCAGGACACAGATTGATGCTGTGCCATGCACAAACCAAAAGCTTGCTGGCAGAAAGTAGATTGAGGGCATTGCCTTCCAAACTAGTTGATTATTTAAAAAATAACCTCAGATTTATTATGTTGTGAAATTGGGTGGAGAGCCCACCACAAAGGCAAATACCCAAGTATTAAGATTTAAAAACCATGTCCAGGCAAGATCTTTGGTTATCGGTACTTCTGCCTGGAACTAGTAGGATGAGAATAGACTGGAAGCCTACTAGTTTTTGAAGGGAAATGTCAAAGAAACCACCAATGTGGCCTACAATTCCATAATTATTTAATCCCCAAAGCAACACCCAATCTCCCAAACCTGTACCAGAAGGAAGCTCTAATTCCCAAGTCTCATGTGACCGTGAAAGGGACTATGCCTTCCAGAAGGCAAGGACAAAGCCATAGAGGCCAGTGGACAAAGGACCGTCAGGTGGGCAGATCAATAACTTACTCTACTTCCAGAGAAGGGAGACTGCAGTGTTCCTGGAAAACCAAACAGGCAAGAACCCAACTGTTGTATATCTACCTCCCCCACTTTCTGACTTAGATTATTTGTTGGTTTGCTGCAATTGTCCTATTCCTACTGCTAATTTATTCTGTGTGTTTTGGAGGCAGATGCCTTTTAGTTCCTAGGTTACTGGGCACAAGAAGCCACACTGGTGGCTGCTGGCTACTCTGAGCTGTGAGGGCCCCCTGGGGAAGGAGGGAAGCGCTGTCTCTGTGTAGGAAGAAGGCTGCACATGAATACAAAAGGCCGGACAATTAAATTCACAAACTTTCCACCATGTAAGTGCACAATGGAAAGTTTGTGAACTTAATTGTCCAACTTTTCATATAGGAGGCCAAAGGGGTAAAGTGTACCAGGAAGGCAGGATAACTCTTCCAGAATAAAGAGGAAATTTCCCAGCTTCCCTTTATTTGCCAGCATCCTTAAAGCTGAGTAGGAAGAAATATCTTGAAACCTTCTGCTGTACTCTCCATAGAGAACAAACCCCCAGGGTGGAGGAGGGATAGATATCTGGCTGAGCAGAGTCGTGGAGGGGATCTGGGGTCTGATTTCTTCCCAGAGTGCATTCTCCTGTCCCTGGTTTGATCCTGCCCACGCTTTCAAAAACAAGTGTAACTTTCAGTTGCAGATATAGCTGAGGCCAATTTCTGAGAATTTTGAGGATTTTGTTTTGTTTCACTTGTTTTCCTTCTCAGGAGTCCCTTTTCTCTTAAAACAAAACAAAACAGAAAAACCTTTTCATTTTGAAATAATTATAGTCACAAGAAGTTGCAAAGAAATGTACAGGGAGGTCCCATGCACCCTTCACTGCCTCCGATATTAACATTCTGCGTAAGCACAGTACAATATCAGAACCAGAAACTTGACATCAGGTACAAACCATTGAGCTTATTCAAATTTTATCAGTCCTACATGCACGTGTGTGTGTGTGTGTGTGTGTGTGTGTGTGTGTGTGTGTGTGTGTGTAGCTCTACAGTTTTGTCAGGTGTATAGCTTCATAGAACCACCACCACAATCAAGACACTTAACTGTATCACCACCTTAAGACTCTCTTATGCTACCCTTTACAGCCACACCCTCCCCCACACCCCCACCCAACCCCACCCCCATTAACCACTAATCTCATCTCTATAATTATGCTCTTTCACAAATGTTATATAAATTGAATTATGCAGTATGTATCTTTTTGAAATTGTCTCAGCATAATTTCCTTGGGGTCATCTGAGCTGTTGCATGTATCATCCTTTTTAGTTCCATCCTTTTTATCACTGAGTAGTATTCCATGGTATGGACAAAGCACAATTTATTTAACCCTTCATCAGTTGAAAGACAATAGGGTCATTTCTAGTTTGGGGTTACTATGAATAAAGCTGCTAGAACATTGATGTACAAGTTTGTGTGTGAAAATAAGTTTTCATTTCTCTGTGACAAAGGCCCAAGAGTATAGTTGCTGGTTCATATAATAACTCCATTTTTAGTTTTAAAAGGGACTGCCAAACTATTTTCCAGAGTGGCTGTGTGTTTTAACCATACGTACCTTGTGTGAGGTATGGCGAGTCCAGACGCAGGTCAAGAGAGAAAAACTGGAAAGTTTTATAGTTTTGTTACTCAAAGTTCAATAGGGAGAGCACCGCACTCCATGCAGGGCCACACAGGGAAGCACCAAGGTGGGCAGGAGACAGAGGGAGGTGAAACTGTGGGCAAGTATCTGTATTGTAGTTTCCACAGGAAGGGACAGGCAAGGCAGGGTTAGCAGTGTAGGATTGACTGATTTGAATAATTTCGGTGGGCTCTGGGGTATAAGGACTATCTTGGTTGTGGTACTTGACCTTGGTGTGATTAGGGCAGGTGTATAGTAGGCAGGACTGTGAGAGCCCAGTAAGAAAGGTGGTTGGGGTTGTGGCTTTAATTGGCTGCTGAAGAAGGGGAACTGACCAGCCTCTAACCAGGGCCTCAAAACTGGGTCAAGACAGCATTTAAAAAGTTATATTAGGGCCGGGGCTGAGTGGCGCGATGGTTAAAAGCTGGCTTGGGATGCCAGAGGGCCCCGGTTCGGATCCCACATATGAGGGCCAGTGACACTGCCCTCCGCAGCTAAGATGCTGAACAACAGCTCAACCTGAAGCTGGGTTGCCATGAGTCGCCGGTGACGGCGTAGGCTGCAGCCCCTGTGGCAGTGGGTTGCCATGGGCTACCGTGTGTAGCCAGCAGCCAGCGTGAGCGGCCAGCAGCTGCAGTGAGCGGCCGTCCAGAAGCCGGCGACTGATCTGCCTCACCCGAGAAGAGCGCAATGATGGTGCCAACTTGGGCCAGTGAAGCAACATCCTCCACAACTAGTTTGAAGAACAAAAGGACAGCAACTTGTCTGTTCCCCTTCCCCCAATCCCCCAGCAGTGTTCCCCTCCCCCAATTCCCCAATAAAAATCTTAAAAATAAAAAAAA